TAATAATAATAATAATAATAATAATAATAATAATAATAATAATAATAATAATAATTGTGAATATTTACTGACCTGGTCCTCTAAACTAAAGGGATAAACTGCCATAGATATATTGAACAACCATAATGCTCTTTATGTGGTTCAGGATTATCATAAACATGACATCATGCAATAAACCTAGTGCGCTGTGGTCTATAGCTCCCCCCTGTGTGCGGAAATAATACTTCAGAAACAAGCCCAAATGATTTGCAGTATATGGAGGAAGCACATGTCCTGTGTTTATGTAGACAAAAAAAGCTGTATGGGTTTTAAAAGGATAATAATTATAATGCTAATAACATTAAAACATGTTTTTGTTTACTTGTTTGTTTGTTTGTTTGTTTGTTTTAAACTAAGTATGCTGGTAGCTGTTTGTACATGTTAATAGCTGTCAGCGCTATGCCTGTATGTATAAGTTATTGTTATATGCTGCCATCTAGTGGTACAGAGTAAATATGTGATAAGTCTTCTTTCTTTCTTTCTTTCTTTCTTTCTTTCTTTCTTTCTTTCTTTCTTTCTTTCTTTTTTGCCATTTCAGTGATATATTTACCTAAATTCTAAAGTTAGACTTAAACTATTTTGGATGCAGCATCTTTAAAGGTTGTGGTGGGTAGCTATCATTTTGTACTTATCCCTTTAGTTTAAAACAGGGGTAGGCAACGCCAGGCCTCGAGTGCCGGTGTCCTGCAGGTTTTAGATCTCACCCTGGGTCACCACACCTGAATCAAATAATTAGTTCATTACCAGCCCCCTGGAGAACTTCAAGACATGTTGAGGAGGTAATTTAGCCATTTGAATCAGCTGTGTTGGATCATGGACACATCTAAAACCTGCAGGACACCGGCACTCGAGGCCTGGAGTTGCCTACCCCTGGTTTAAAACTATACTATAATATAGTATTTTATTTTCATCTGGGCCACCCTCACTTACAGACTGAATTAATGAAAAAGCACTAACTATTAAAGGCTGACAAAGAGTGGTGTTGGATCTCGTGCCATTGGAGTATCTTACAAGCTGTGGGAACCATACTTGAAGTATGTGGAACCTCATGTCTCTAATATTATGCTACAAGGATTCTTGCAGCAGTGTTCAAACTGCATTTTACTACTGGGACCACAGGTATTGTACTGTATTGTATTTCATTTTTCTTTTTTTAGATGGATCTGAGCTGGTGTTTTGTTTTGTGTTTAGTTTTTGGTTTGTTTGTCTGTTTGTTTTTTATTGCGCTCAACTGTATACTATATTATGTTATGTAATTATGGATTGTTTGTGAAAATAAAAAAAACTAAAAAAATATTGCATTCATAATAATAATAATAATGATAATAAGGTAATACTAGAACTAATAATGCTTAAAAATAAAATGAAATATACAGCTTTAAAGGAAATCATTTGTTTCAGTCATTTTTGTCAACACAAAATGCATCTGTTTGTTGAGAGTTGAGCTGTCACCATGATACTGGATTAATTGTTTGAGCTGTCTATTTGTTGATGAATTATGCCACATAATCTATATAAGAAAATTTAGTGACACTAAACAGAACAGAGAAAATAAAATGTGGCACTGAACTCTTTCACACCCTTCAAATCTGAACCACTCATCCCAAAACTGTATGGCCACTTCATTCCAACCATGAGACAAAATTACGAGGGGAAAAAAGCATTATCCTCCTCAGTGCTGCACTGTAAATATAACTGATGTTAAATACTATAATAACGTGCACTGAAAGCTCTTGTGCTAATTATAGCATAGACTCTCCTGCATTTGCCTCACAGTGGTTTGGTCCATTGCCAGTTATTCATCAGAGCCCTTGAGCAGAAAGGGAAGATTAGATAGAAATAGTTCCTGTAGGTGCTCAGCAGGAAATTCAGGAAATGAACAGAGTTGTGATTTATTTGTAACTCTTAGTAGTGAATAAATCCACAGTGATATTCACATTTAATTACATCTATTTACGTGTAAACTATTTGAAAATAAGTAAGAACAACTAGCCTCACGTGACCTCTTAATGTGTGTTACCATGGATTAAAGCATGGTGCTGGGGGTTTTTTTTGGTGGGGGTGGGGGGAGGGGGTATCATGTTTTTGGTGATCAATAGCTGTCACACAATGACAGGAAAGTATTGTGGGAACAACAACCGGCCTCACCCACCAAGATATTTTAGTCCCATCCACAGTTTGGCAGGCCAACGGGATTCTGGCCCCTTGTGCATGTCGTCCTCTGATTTATGCTGATGAACTCTGGTAGGAGCAGCGTCCCTTTGTGTAAATATAACTGCTATAAATGTTCATTTGTCCTTCTGTCAGTTGAACAGCAAGAGGAGTAGAGAAGTTTTTAAGAAGGTAACTGTTTTTTAAGTCCTTATTATTGCTTAATTTATTTTAAGATAAGTATTTCCTGAAAGTGTGCTCATTTCTCCTGTGGGAAACAATGAAATCATCGTATTTATCTTATCTTATCCATTATTGATATATTGTGATGGATACTAATAATTTATTTCAAGACTGATTCATTTTTGCCTACCCATTTTTTGTCCCTTTTTTTTTGTCCATTGTGCTTTAACTAATCCAGTGACTCAGATATACAGAAGGTGGCATAGAGGTGACTGTCAGTGATTGTGAACTGACTGGATAATAAATTCAGTACATTAATGTGATGATAAGTGTGTTAGAGAATATATTCTATACTGTGAATAATAATATAAACATGAAATATTTCAATTTAAAACAACTCTGATATCAGTGATTTGCAGGCGAAAGACATTCTTTGGCTGACATGCAGAGATATGTGCTATTATAACTCATCACATCTACTACAGGTAGCATCAAAACACAATAGGAATGTTAACAGGGATGTTCCTAACCCCCCAAAATAATGCCTATGTATATAATTTATATTTTTGTTTTTTTTGGAGAGTTATATGTTTATGTACTATTTGTTTTTTACGCTGCACTCAGTCATCACAAAAAATGCATTAAGTAAATCTCAGATAACTGAGAAAAATGAATGATATGTGTCTTTTCCCCCATTGTTGTCCTCTTATAGTCTCCACCCTTGTTTACTGAGCTGCGTGGGGTTGATCGGCTCACTCAGAGATATGAGTGTGTATGTACAGACACAGAGGGGGAAAATATAGTTTGCATAAAGTTGGCTAAGCATTTGACCTTGATTTTCATTGTTACTGTTAAAGATTAAAGTAGACCTTGAAAAAAATCATGAAATCATATCTAGTAATATATCATATGATAGAGAAAGTGTATAACACAGCTTTTATTTTTTCACCAAAACGGGCTGATGTCAGCAGGCTGTACTAAAAAACATCATAAAACATCAAAGTTTTAGTATAGCCTTTGCTCTTAAGTGGGAGTTATGCTCTCTGAGTGCTCTTGTTGATACAGTGCTCCATGTATTCTCCCACTGTACATTATTAAAAGGAAGACCAGAGGTGTTCAGAAGGAAAGGTCAAAAGTTATCAAATTGGATTCTTATTATGTTTTTTTTTTTTCAACATTTCGTTTTCAATACATAGCTTAAAAATTGAACATCGGAGTTTCATAACATTATAAGAACACCTTTTTGGGATAACATCAATCTTCCGTAGAAAGTAATTACAGGCTCCTGGTCTAACGTAAAATCTGGCACTCGACGGTGACCAGAGGGGAAAGCGGGAATGTGAAGTCCAGTCCGCAGTTTGCGGCTCTCTCAGCGGTTCTCGGGTTTCAGCTCGGCGCGTGCTCTACGCCTCCTGCTTTGTGTTGTCAGGCAGAGAAAGACGCGCCATTCAGGGTGGCGTGTGTCCTCGTGCACGGTCGCAGAGTCGGCGCGGAGGACTGAATCACATCTAGTTAATTTACTCTCTCCTCTTAAATAGTTGACTAATATTTATAATTTCGTTACCATGTCGGTGGGAGTGGAGTCTGGATTCTCAAGCGAGGAGGTCTTAAACAGCCGCTTCCCTCTCCATCGGGCTTGCAGGGATGGAGACGTCGGTGCCTTGTGCTCCCTCCTTCAGTGCACATCAAACCCGGCCGACCTCACGGTGGAGGACACTTTCTACGGCTGGACGCCCATACACTGGGCTGCTCACTTCGGAAAGGTATCGCTTCTGTCCGCCCGGGTTTTAGTTAATGGATATTTTTTAGGCGAAATGTTATCCAGAAGGAGCGTCGTCGCTCTTCGACATCATGAGGCTCGTCTCGGCCATTTCCTGATGTTTCCATTAACTGTTAGCTGATGAGACGAAGAAGCAGCCGTCCCTGAGTGCAGGCAGACAATGGACCGTTGAAGTTAAAGCGATACTTTTTAAAGCTAGTTTTCAATTAATTGTATTAGTATGCGCAAAATTGTAGGTACGTTTTTACCTAGTGTTGAACAGGAACCTTATTAATATTAACTAATGGCTTTAGGCGATAGGTTTAACACGAAATTCTAGCATTACAAGAGCCACAAATGTTAGCTAACGAGCAGTTAGTTAAATTGGATGTAGCCTCGCGGACTGTAGCAGGTTTGCAGCTAAAAAGGGTGGTTATTCAAACTGCTTTCAAGCCAACTCCCGGCGCTAATGACTCATTTTTAATGAAGCGTTTGAGTGTAAAAAATACTCGTGGTAAGACTTGTTTAACAAACTGCACATTAGAAAAGAATAGGCCTCACGTTTGTACAGAGACTGGATTCATACCCCGAGGCAAAGCTTTGATAATTGTGCCTCGAAAACCCAGTCAGCCCACATAGGAGCGCTTCTTTTTTGCCCTTTTTCGGCTGCTGTAACACACTTACTTGCCTGTACCTGCCCTGTCTCAGAATGCAGGTAATGGACCTGTCTGACTGTATGTGCAATGCACTTGTGTCTTCACAGCTCGATTGTGTGATGCGTCTGGTTCAGGTGGGCTGTGGTGTGAACGCGGTAACCTCCAGGTTTGCACAGACGCCCACTCACATTGCTGCTTTTGGGGGCCACCCTGAGTGTTTGTTATGGTTGCTTCAAGCTGGTGCAGATATTAACAAACAGGTACGATATCAGACCCACTCACATCCTTTTTCACAGAGTTTCCTGAAGTGACATGTAGACTGCATTTGTTACAAAGTGGGACAAGAGGAAAACACAATAGAAAAAAGGGACAATGGTTTTTATGTGAAATGAAAAGGAAGCAGGGGAGAGGGCGAGTGAAAAGAGCAGAGGAGCATCAGGGGTTGAGCTCAGATAATCCCATTGAAGAGGATAATTCTAATTTGGGGTCACGGCCCTGGCAGTGTTGCTGCTCACTCCTCCATTTGACCCACCAATGCCCTCATATTCCATTTTATTTCTTTATTTCTTCACCATATTTCCCGAAGCAGCCACTGTCAGACTGTTGAGTGCCTCACTCATCCCGTCTTTTCCTCTCCGTGGGATTTCATGCACAGACGGGCTCATGCACTGAGGCTATATTTGATGCTCCACTGCACTACTGAGAGGAATCAGATTAGTGGGGCACAGTGACATAACATATTGTCGTCATCAGGAACCACATTGCTTTGCAACTCCCACTGAATCTGCTTAACGTCTGTGGAAATAAACACAAGGGAAAGTTCTCAGATTTGCGGACCTTTTCCTCTTGAGTGTGTAGCATTTTATCTTTCCTGGGATTGGGCAGTAGGAAAGTGTGATATTTGAGCGCAGCCTACGTTGCATTGTGGTTGGGGAAAGCTGCCTCACCCCCCCCTTCCCTCAGCTGCACTCTTACTAATGTGCAACTGTAAATGTGTGTGGGCGGCAGTAATGTCTGGGTGAAAAGTTCAGGCTCTGTCCTGCAGAGTTACACCCTTTTATAATTTCCAGTATGTGCTTAGGATGCAGTAATATGTGATACATTTGATAAATACTTAATTGGTAATGTCTGTCTGATACATTCTATATATAACTGCAGTCTCTTGTCATCACTCAGGACTATGTGGGCGAGACGCCCATCCACAAGGCTGCTCGTGCGGGCAGCCTGGAGTGTATCAACACTCTCTTGATTCAGGGAGCGAAAGCTGAGTAAGTCCTGTGATCAGTCCTGTGTCATCATTTCTTTTCCTCTGTACTATCCAGCATTTTAGTTACACCTTTACAAGGGATCGCCACCAAACTCACATCAGTACAGTTGTTAAGTCTAAATGTTTATTCAGTTTCTTCAAAGCTGCAAATATGTGATCTGCAAAATTAACAGTGCAGGTCTTAAACATAAATTTGTAGAAGGTGAAGAATGTAATTACTAAGATTAAAATGTTTGATATTATATTATATTAACCTCAGCCAAAAGGAACGCTGCTCTAGAAGCGGTTACTTTACTTTAAATCAGTTCAGGTTGTGTCTGTATATAACTTTTAACAAGATTTGAGCAAATGACTGAATTAGTCATTTAGCTCAACAAAATAAAATCATCTTTGTTTTATTGTTCATGGGTTCATTAAAAATGTACACCAGACAACGGTGTAGACATTTACATCCTTGAAAATGTTTTTAGAAGTTATAGAGATGCATTTTGTGAAACGGTAATAATATAGCAAAGTTAGCTTGCTTGACATGTTAAACATTAACAGAATTGGTGGCGTTTCCTTGAAAATGTGACACATTTTGTTAATCCTTAAAAATTGTTGTTTTTCATTGCAACAATTCACATTAAGTTGCTCTCTGTGTGTAACATGATCAGATAAGACATATTCCACAAGTGCCTGCTTGTGTACTTGAATAAGCAGACGTTTATTACCTTTATAGTCTGCTACACTTTATGTGTGTTACAGTAAAAGTTGATTATTAACTCTGCGTCTCGGCGTCTTTCATCTAGATGGCTGACTTTTTCAATCCAGCACGATTATTACACAAACATGAGGGCAACTTAATGTAAAGGTTGATAAACTGTTTAATTAGTAGGCCATGTTGCATGATCTCTGTTAAATCTAGAGTGTGGTTTTCTTTGTTAACATTTGTTTTAAAGATTTGTGTCTTAAATACACAGCTTAACTGGGTGACCAAATGCACATTGCCTTTTTATCTGAATACCTCTTTACTGTCATTGTGGAAAGGCTGTAAGGTGTTGCATTGAATGAAAATGCATTGATTAGGTGGCCGTGTTTGGAAATGCAAAATCTTTTTTTTTTTCTTCTTCTTCTTTTTTAAGTTTTTGCAAGATTGTTTTGGCTGCTCTCATGTCCACCTTTTTCAAGGATCATTAAACTTAACAATAATATCTGCATTGAGCAGATCTTGCACGATAAATTTAGCTTAGTAGCAGTATTTTAGGAGGTAGACATAATCTCCTCTTGTAGTAATGATCAGTCACACCTTTACAGTTGTTTTGCCAACATACCCATTTATAGAAAACATTGTTATCACTGTTGTTCGATCTGACGCATGAACAAAGAAGTGAGAGCCAAGACTCATTTTTCCTGTTTGTTAAATTTAGCTTCAAGACTGGCAGGACTTGAAATAACAACAGCTATATCGTTAGATCATAGCTGTTATTTTCCTAAAGGTCATGTGAATAAGCCTAATAAATTAGGCACCCAGTTTACATACTCACAGCTTACCTGTGTTATCCAGCTGTAAAACAAACAAAACAAAAAAAGCCTTGAGTTGATTCTCACTAAAGTAGGTTACCAGGTTTGTAAGTAGCTTTTTAATGCACAAAGAAATTAAAGGTTGCTGATTACTTTAGTCTTAGGAGTTTAGATGTTAGACTCAACATGTTTTATTTGTTTTTGTTTTTCAATTATGAAGTCTTGCAGCTTCATTTTCTGCAACATACTGTCTGCCTTTTCTTTGTGATCCCATTAGAGAACAGAAACCCCAAGCTACCAAGGAGTTTATATGTATGTTAATTTTTTGTAGTCTAATAAATCTTTGTTCACCAAAAGCTCTCTGTAAAGAAGGTAAATCCCACCATGAAGCAGTAAAAGTGAGCTTTAGGTATAACCATGATAATACTGAACATAATCTGAGAGCAGTGCTGACTTTGGGCCTTGTTTCAGTAAAGGAATGCAAACAGTGCTCACACGCCTTTTCAAAAGGTTTTAGAGACACACACACACACACCATGCATAATCTGTTCCTCATAGTTTCACAGAGTGCGTGTCCCAGAGTCATAAAAAACACTCAATAGAAATTAAAAACACTTCATTTTCTCCTTGTATAAACACCCTGGTTGCTACGGTTGCCTTGGCAAATTAAATCCACTGCTTTCACGCAGAGAAGCTCAGCAGTGGTTCACACAGTGTGCATTTGGTTATCAGCTGATGAGTATTATATTTTTTGATGAAAATGATATGTGATTTTTTTGTTTTGTTTTGTTTTGTTTTTCTCCCTGCAGATCACAGATATTTAGTTTAGTTTATTATCAAGTTTGTTTGTTTTTCATTTATTTAACTTATGACTCAGAAATGTAGCGGGGGCGCAGCTGGAGGGAAGACTAAGGCACAGCAGGTGGGACTGGGGCTCATGACAAAATAACAAATTTCAGCATCAAAGGGCTTTCAAACATCTGCTAACAAAATATTCCAATGTTAACAAAGGTTGACAAAGAAAATAGTCTGCTGTCATGTGCAGTAAATATTTGGTGGCAAGGCAGCAAATGAACCTTGACGTGATAATTATTCAGGCAATCAGTCGTTGGTAGCACTCATGGTGCATTATATCTGATGCATAAGAGAGAAATATTTTGCTGGGAAAATATTTTTGTGTATGCAGTTTATACTATAATAATACAACTCTGCAATACATAGTAGTCTACATCATATACTACTATATGAACTAAATTGTGTTCTTAGGCTTTTAGTTTTTACCCTAATTTTTAGTTGTAATGTTTAATTCAAAATATGTGTAATATACTAAGTCTAAAATACTGTGTTGATAATCTTCTAATTTGAATCTGTTAGTCAGGACAAACAGCTCTAAATCTACTCATTTAGCGCTTTGGTAATTTTTTTATTATAAATGCTGTTATTGAAGTCAAAGTTTCTGCATTTTCTTTTTGGAAGTTAGCTTGAACATTGAGTCTATTCTTTGAGATCTATTACTTGAACAGCCATCTCCATGTCACATTTCTTTCATGTCAGATTAAAGCTCCGTGATAGGCATCTAAACACTTCCTTTGCCCTCCGGTCCACTCACTGCATTATGGGAGCGAAGCTTCAATAACAAGCACGTTTTTACTGTGGAGTGTTTTGTGCAGGATCTAAGGCAGTAAAATGGATTAAGTAGTGGATTATGAATGGTTTATTCTTAATGGAAACTCACATCAACATTACCATGGTTATAAAAGAAAAAGCAATGCTTCCAAATATTTTCACAGAAGCCTTTGAGAGTACCTTTTTACAGCAAAGCGGCTAAATTATATTTCACGCAAACAGGATGTCCTTGTCACATTGATTATATGAACAGTGAATGAATGAATGGGTTTTATTCAGTCGCTTAAATCTACATTTTTCATTGAGGATTTTCCTCAGTGGGCTGTTCATCTTCTTGGCTTTGTTTTATGCTTGCTTTGTATTACATTCTCTTGAACACACTTGTCATCTGAGATTTTCAATGGGGAGAAGTAATTCATAAGTGATAAAACTGTAAGCTTTGACTTACAGACTTTGTCAGAGCATTTTGCAGCTGTGACTGTTTCTGCTTATCTTCACATTTTCCGTGTGGAAGAAAGAAGAGACACAAGAGTGTGATGTACTCATTTGATTCATTAGAAGGAAGTGCTCTTGAAAGCCTTGAATTACGTATGAAATACTTTCATTCCTTTGGCCGTCACCTACAGATGCTTTTATGCACCTTTTTTTTTTTTTTTAATGAGTGGGAACAACATTAAGTCCACCTAAACCTGAGGTTTGTGTTATTTTACTCAGTGGTGTCATGGTTGGATAAAACTTGGGTCCTTCTTGAAGCATGCCTTGACGCTCAGCAGGCATTTTGGCAACACCTCTGTGCAAGCGTTTCTGCTTCAGTCTAAAAGATTGGGTTGACAGTCATAACTTTTACATAATTCCTTACTGGAACATAAAAACGATTAAATAAAACTCTTCAAAACTTTCCCCAGTGTCACAGTTCATCATGGTTTTATTTGTAGCTCTGTCCCGAGTGCTGACAGGATCAACATCTTTGGCTGTTTGCGCCAAGTCACTTGAACGAACGCCATCTTAAATCCTATTATAAATACACTACCAAGAAAAATGATAAGGACATCTATAAAGTACTCGTAGAACCACTCATAAAGTAGATATATGGTAACTAAATTAATCAGACCCAGCTTTATAAATACGAGCTTTACTTTGCCTTTTGAAATCCAGTATTTAATTTGAATCATAAAACCAATGCTCTGATTTTGCTCTAGAACGCTAAAATAAACTTAGCACTAAAAATATATAGACTTTTTGGGGGGTAGATTTCTAAGAAATTATTTTTTGTCATGAGCCTCAAACTGTAAAGGTGGTCCAGTAGCAAACTAGCAGCAGGTAGGCCAGTGCTTAGAGGCTGCCAGTGATGAGCGTAGTGCAGGCATGCTTAGAGCAGCTGAGTGAGATGGGTAGATTTGCATAACATCATGTACTGAACTGTCTAATGCTAACATCATCCTGTTGCAATGGTTATTCACTGTCATTTCACTGTACCAAATATTTTACGTTATACACAGAAATGTTTTCTTTTGTATGTCACAGTATTAACCCTATACAATATCATAGTCTGTTTTGACTTCTAATCTTTGTCACCTTTTCCTTTATGAAAGTGACAATAAGTTTACAAAAAAAGTTTTCTATACTGTTAACAGAAACAGAACCGTACATCTTAATGTTTTGCAGCCATTGAATTGGAAATGACTTGGTTTTTTCAAGTAATCCTAGAAAGGGGGAGAATAGACACTGCTGAGTCTGCCCCGTTCCCTGGGATAGCCGCACTGTTGTGGCATTGAGTGTTCTCACTATCGCTTCCTATCTACACACTGGCAAACTGTTGAGGTATTTCTTGCGGTGATTGGTTTTAATGCTAGGTTTTTTAATAAATCAAAACTAAAGTTTTAGACCTGCATGCTTTGCTTATTATCCATGATTGTTCCTGTATTTAGCCTCTTTTTTTAATTTTATGATTTGTCTTTATTTTGTGAACTAACCATAGGAGTCCTTTAAATGGACAGGGTTAATCACGTGAGTCCCATGTCAACATGTAGCATGATAATAGGCTGCCTCTGGAAGGTTAGACAATAGTTAGAGAAGATGCATATTGTGTGCTTAGGCCCGAAAAGCAAAGCATACCAGGCATTTACAAAGAATTAACGCTTCCTTTTTTAAGTTGTTTTTTTTGTTTTCGTTGTTGTTGTTTTTTCTTTTAAGCTATACACAGCTATCCATTTTGTTGGATTAGTGATTACCATAGATGTCAGGTCTCACTAAAGGAATAATGGTTTAAATTATTAGGGAAATAGAAAAGGGGCATATTGTTTCAGTTATGTGGAGGGAGATGTTCAAGCTGATGTTCAAGATTTGGTTTGGAAACAAGTCAATGCTGGAAATGAAGCCAGAGAGTCTAATAAAGAAATGAGAGAATTAATTTGCAGCAGACTTTATCTGAAAACTTGAAATTTGCACTTATAGTCGGGCATTTAAAATGCCTGGCACTCATGAGTGTCTAATGTTTAGCTTCCTCCTTAAGAGATCCACAACATATACACACACATAAAAAAAATCACTGCACCTATAACCTCCTCCCTATCTTTGACCAACCCCACAGCAGAGCTGCAGTAATCTGCAAGTGTCTCTGCAATCACTCATTTGATATTGGATATAAGATTTCAAAACGAGGAGCAACTTTAATATCTTAAGTGCTTGAAAAGGGAGAGGAAATCTCATTTGGGGATGGTTGAGGTGAAATTTCACCCTTGTCCAAAAAAAAGGCGTAACCACTGAGTTCCTCTAGACAAGAATTAGGGCAAGTACTTGTTGTACCATTATCATACAATAAGTGGACCTTAATGATTAAGATTAGAAGATGTTAGATTTTTATCACAGTAACAGTATGTTATTCTGTGCCTATCTGGTCCACTGGTTTACTTAGGGAACTGTGTTCAAAGAGAGACAAATTTTAACATTAAATTCTTATTTAGTATTATACATGAGAATTATCTATTCCTTAGAGTGAGACTGATCCATCTACCATTTAACATGTAAATGATATTCAGTTAAAATGTAACCTCTTGGATTAATCCTTTGGAAGCGTTAATTTTGAAGGGGACGGGTAATGTGCAACAAGTTTATTGTGTGATTTTTACTTGTTTGATTTTTTTTTTTTATATATATATAAATCTTCAATTCTTTATAAAATGTTTTTTCACATGCTCTAGTTCTTGAAATGTTTATTTCTGCACAACTGTTTAGATAAAAATGCAGAAAACGAGCAGTTTCTACACATCACGAATGACCAAACAGCAGCTGTGTGCTTTAAATCCTGCCTCTTTGTGTGGAAGCTAATATCACCTGGTTTTAATTTAACACTATAAACTCAAAGTTCAATGAAACAAAATTTATTATTTATTCCTAAAATTTCGGTAAATCATTTTAGTCATGCATGAAACGACGTGACGATTGCTTTCAATGTTTTTCCTGTCGTGTTGTTTAAAAAAAAAAACAAACAAAAAAAAACCCAGTCCAGAGTCAGATGTGGGCCAGCGCTCCCAGTTCTTTGACAAAGACTGAGCTGTTTGGTTAGAGAACTCATTTCACAGCATGATGACATTTAGGCCCCGAACAACGGCAGTATTGTTTTTGTAACTGGCTGAAACAGACAAAAGAAATTTCCATCATTAAGCTGCAAGAAATGTTTTGGTTGGTCAATTATTTTCTGTATCCTTAAGCAGAATAATCAAATTTTATATTAATAGCACCTTTTTTTTAATATAGTTTTTATTTTATTCCTGTGTAGTTTTTTCTCCTTGCTGTCCACATTTTACCTCCAGTTGAAATAGTTTCCACACTTTAATGCTGTTTGAAAACTGTAAATTTGTGAGGGGGAGGGGACACAGTGCTGTTTGTTCATTCATTACTACTCCCAGAAAGTTACTTTATCACTGCTGCAACTGGCTATGGTTAACACAGAGTGCACAGACTATTTAGAGTTATTTTATTATGTTTTTTTTTTTTGTTTTATTCTCTTGCTCATTTTTCTTGAAACAACATGAGGACAAGTTCACTTTAGCTTCACATTCTCAACAAAAGAAGAGTGGTGTTGCTTGGGTGCTGCAGTTCGACCTTGATTTGTTCTCGCCCTAATCGTTCACTCTCTGAAGTTTGTTTTGAAGATTGCATCATAGTCTTCACCCTCTTCTGATTCTCTGACTCATCTCTGGGGATTTTGTCACTTTGCCAGTCTGTCATTTTCTTTGCTGGCTTTTCCACATGGACATTGACACAGAGAAGACAACATCACTGCACTTTCAATGCGGCTTTGCAGAAATCCTTGAACTTTATCGGCGTTGGAGACGTGAGATGATAACCGCTTCTCATCCTTCGCAGAATGCTCCTTGATGTAGCCCGTTTGACGCGGTCCACGGATGTGATCTCCTGTGGATGCAGCGGATCATTTCATACATGTTCAAGTGCATGTGCTCAGCTGTCTTAACCATGTCCGTTTGCAGCAGACGTGTTTCCTTAATTATGTGGAAACAAGTGAAATTTTTAAGTTTCACTCAAGATGCAGATGATCCCAAAGGGATCAGTCGTCATCTGTCATGAAGATGACGAAGAGGATGTGAGAGAGGGTAGAGCAGCACAGGCTATTTCTATACATCTGTGTTTGTCTGTGTGTGCGAATATTTGCTTAATGAATGTGTGTGCGTGCGTTTATGTATGTATGTATGTATGTGCGTGTGGGGGTGTGTGTGCCTACGTGTGCGCGCTTGGGTTTGTCTCATTTTGTTTGTGTTTTATTTGTGTAAATGGAGCATACAGTGAGTGTTTCTAACACTCCCTTTTCTGTTGTGCAGTATGAGGAATGCCAGTGGGCTGACTGCTGCTGACCTGGCCCACGCGCAGGGATTCCGGGAGTGCGCTGAAATACTCTCCAATGCCCAGAACTTCCAACAAAACATGGCTCAGTCTCATAATGGGGTTTTTCTGAATGGCATGAGCCAGAATGGGTGCCACACTTACCCCACCATCCAGGGACGCAGCTTCTTGAATGGTATGCCCAACAGAAAAAGGTCTTTCGAAGGCATGGAAGCAAACCCTGGAAAGAAGGCTAGAACTAACGGTAAGTTACTAAGCTGATCAGGTCTGTTCAGATACTTTTTTTTCTCTTCTGTTACCTTTTAAAGGAAATTGAAACTTTCAAGACATTATTAAGACCCTCAGCCGTAAAAGGTTGATGGTATAGTGTCATGCACACCAAAGTTTGTGAATGCAATAACTCGAGAACGAAACAGTATAAGATTTTGAAATTGATGCCATCGAGTTCAAATCTCAGTGACCTTGACCTCAATGTCAAAGGTCAAGATAACTTGAAAACCAAGTGAAGTAGGATTTTGAAATTGATACCATCAGTGTATCTAGGAGATTAAGGGTGTAAGTCTCTCCAGGTATTTACTTTTTAAAAAATATTTTCTGAAGTCTTTCCTCCAAAGGGTCTTGTTAGACTTTATTCACATTTGACGTGAGTCACAGCAATAGTGTGACACAGTGACTCTTTTTATTGATTATAATTCATTTTCCTGATATTAATTGATTATGTTGAAACACAAAAGGATGTTGGGTACTCAACTTCTTTTTACAGTCAGCTGTTTAAGTTATTTCTAGCATGCATGATATCCCCATGAATGACAACAAAAAATAATTCAGTTTTGGTGAATTGGTGATCAGCAAATTGTCATCTACAAACTATTTTCTTCTTTTCATCACAAGACCAAGTCTCTGCATGTATTTTTAGGAAAAAATCTGGGTTAATTGTATCTTCTAAGCAAATCTTTCTTTAAATGGATGGAAGAAACATGTCCTGGCTCTCAGCTCACTGATTTTTCCTCCCGTCTTGACTCTCAGGTTTTTGCGTGGAGCCCAAATTGCTTAACGGAAATGGGCCACTAGATGGAGCTGGAGATGCACAGATGGAGAGCATGAACATGGAGCTGGCAGCGACTGTAACCTCAGGTGGGCCAGGAAGCTTTGCATTTGGGATGAATGGGGTTGCACCATCACAAGGGCCGGGGCCCATGGATCAGGGGGGACCAGCCAGGTCGAGCCCCACAGCTAAAGAGCTGGAGGTCATCACTGTGGCGTCGATGCAGACCCCCTGTCGCTGCACCAACTCTTATGCCTACTTGTAAAGGGCTTGTGTGTGAAATGGCACACGCTAATGTTCCCATTTGTATGTTTGTTGTATGTTTCCTTTTTGAGTAATGCACAGATATCAAAATACATTTGTTTTGATTTGGTGGAGAGCTTCCTTTGAAAGATATTTAGGTGCGTGCGTGCGTGTGTGTGTGTGTTGTATTTTCTATTTTTCCATGTACCTGATTATACTCTTAAGGAGAAAGGTATTAATATGTGTTTGTTATACAGATATGTAGTCAGTGCATACGTCCAATTATACTGACAGTTCTTGTGTAATGCTTACTTTTTATTAGGTTTTAAATAAAAGGATGATTTTGTTTTGCACAATTATACCACGTTGTTTGCATTAAAAGTGCAAATGTTTATATTGGCTTCATAAAAAATATTTAGACACGTCTTATTATAACGCTCATAACCTTGTGCATTATTGTATAATAAGAAATAAGGAAAACTTCATTTGACACCTGATGTTGTGAACACCAACCTTCTGCTGCCAACACCAAAAAAAATAGTAATGTTCGAGTTTGTTTTTCTCCCAGTTTAATAAATCGGTAAATATTGTTGATTTAAAATGATATTTAATAGGTGACATTTATGTGAAATTGGTATCTAAGCACTTTTTAAAACATACATAAAGAAAGTCTCTGGAAATTTCGCATTTTATATTGAAGAATGACTTTATGCCAAAGCATATATGAACATGAATGTAGCTTTTAAAATTTACATAATTCACTGTGCAGCTTTCTTGGAGTTTCTAGATGCCCTTTAGTAACATTTACTGGTCCATGAGAGTAGAATTGGTTAACCCCTCTTTTTCACCTTTGTCATTGATTGGTCTGAAATATGATGAATGTTTACTGTGTGTGTGTGTGTGTTGGTGAACTTTTAAGGTAACTAGCAGCAAGGCTTGCATTTGCGTGTGTTACAGAAGAATACCCAGTGTGTTTTTTAAATTAATATCAGGCCATATTGCAATCGGTTGTTATGTATAAACAGTCCTGCTGAAAAAAAGTTTGCATGGTTTTTTACACTTTGCAAAAAGCCTTATTTGTTAAGCTGCGTTAAGTAATCCAAACGGTAACTTAATGTACGCTGTGTTCAAATTTTATAGACGGGGGGGGGGGATTCTTTCTGTATTTTGTAGTACTATTTCATGTTGAACATGGTTTCTGTTTTTGTTTTACGTGGCAGAAGGTTTGAGTGTGTAGTCTTTGAATCTGGGGCATCCAATGTTTTGAGTACTGAGCAGGTTTAGCTTTGTACTTTACTGCTTGACATCATTAAATGTGTATAAAGTTTATAAATGTGGCCTTTGTTTTCTTGGTGTATCCTCGTGCTCTTTTTTTTTCTCCTGTCTCACAACATCTGTGTTTATTTTTTTTTTAAATGCTTACATTTTTCAGATGATTGCAAATACAGTGCCTTTGACATTTTTTACAATTCTGCTTGTGATGTTTGGTCATGGAGCTTAAAAGACTTGTGATTTTTCTTGTGAAATGACACAGAACTAGGTCACGGTGGTACAACGCAAATTGTATGTCAGAATTACTCAGATCAGGACGTGACCTATTTTAAAACAAGGTCTCAGGTCAAAACTTTTGAGATTACATAAACCTGTGGAGTCTATTTCGCAATTTATTGATCTCTTTTTTTAAAATCCAAAGAGTTGGATACCACTTTATGTGTGTTGAAAGCTGGCCATGTAATAGACATTATTTTTACGTGGCTGCTTACAGAATTGTAGTAAAAAGAATTTTAAATAGTTGTGCAAAACAAAATCGGCCCCTGCCTCGTTTGTTCTCTATTAGAGGCAGGAACACGATCAAAACAATTTGTTTGCCCTTTTGACTATTTGTTTCATTTACAGTGGCAGGTGAAAGACACTGTGAGGACTTTTTCTCAAACGGCCCAACAGCAGAAATCCTCCTTGACCACCACATCCACAGCGGCTCACCTGAGATCATTAACACTGGAGGCAGTCAGGTGGAGCACCTGAAGTCTGTGAAAGCGGAGCAGTTCTATGACTACACCCTCTTCAGCACCATGCTTCTTTACCATGGATCCTAAAATACAAAAGTGATCTTCCTGACAGCTCTTCCTTTTTGCCTGAAACTCATTTAAGCCTAAACAAGCATTCATTCGCCTTAAAGCCACAGAGTGGTCACGTTCATTGAATTTCTTTGTTTATTAACAGCAGAGCCACTGTTCTGGATGGGTCTGAAACTGCATTAATAAAGCAGCGTAAAAAGTGGATTTTTGTGTTGTTAAAGACAAAAAAAGTTAATGTTTAGTTCTTGTTGTGATTTATGCTACAAATAGCAGTTTTCTTTGAATACACTAAAGTAAGCATTTGAGATGAACCACTGCCAGTGCTGAAATTTTGTTTGTCTCAATATGTTAAAAAATGGAAACACATAAGATGTAATTCATTAAAAAAAGGTTTTCCAAAGTTTGATTTTTCTCCGTACATTTTGTTCTGCTTCCTGCCATAGATGGCTTATGAAATAATGTGTGTAGAGAATCATGGTATTCTACTTTCTTTTTCTATCCATTAGATATCTACATTAAAGTTATTGGTGTGCTCGCTTAATACAGAAAACTGCTTTAAAAGCTGCACTCTCACGTGCTGGCACAGCTGTCTCAGGGCCGACCTTCATCATAGCTGCGCAGCATAAACATCCCGTCATCGAGGCTACGTCACCGTGGCCACGTCCCGCGCCACCCTTAACTCGAATGCGGTGGGGAGTTGATTCCAATCAAATAAAATATTGTATTAGATAAATCTATCGTGTTGAAAGAAAGTACAGCGTTTTTATAAAAACTACTTATGCTAACAACACAAAATGTCTACTGACATTTTCATGCTAGAAATTTCAAGTTTGCTTAGTAATCGCAGATGTCCCCCCCCCCTTCCTTCTTGATGTGGTATCGTCCTGTGTAAATCTATGTATGCAAACCAGCGCGTCATATTAGCTTTATAGGACGACGGAAGAGTCGGCCTCCCTTCTGTAAGGTTTCTGTAACGTTCTCAAATTACATTAACTATAATACAGGAAAATAAGCTCCTGCCAACTATTTTGCCTTGTCTGTACGTATTCTTCAAGTTAAGCTATGTCAACCCCGGCCAGAAGAAGACTTATGAGAGATTTTAAACGGTGAGTTGGTGTACAGGAATTATGCCGACATCGTTAGCCGTTTTGACAATTCGCAGCTATCATTATGCTAGCTTGTGCTAGCCCGACATAGCTAATCACTGTTTTTTCAGTATATAGTCAATTTAGGAGTTTCCTGTGTAAAAACAACCACAAGGCAACCGCTATAGATTATTGTATGCTTCTGCGAATGTGAATTATTTATGTGAAATATTTTTTTTTTCAAAGCACTTTGTCTTTCCGTGACGCTAACGGAGCTAGCTAATGCTAGCAGGTTGGTTGACTAAGGCTTCTGTCAACGTACAGCTCCTAGCTGACTCTTTGAACCTTTTAGCTTTGAATATGCGTGAGGAGTGGCCGGACGGTTTTCATGGTTTAAACATTTTTTTTCAACGCATTCAACCCCAGTACTCCACGAATGTATTCCTTCCGTTTATCTTATATTTCCGCCTGATTGTTGCGTTGTTGACCAGCGCAAACGGTTCGACATCCCTACGCTCGCAAACTTACAAAAGTTTGAGTTAATGAGGCAAATAATGACGCCAAGAAGCGAAACAGAATAAAGTTAGATTGTTATGTAAATTTCCGAGTAGAAATCAATATGTCAAAGGTGAGAAACAACAGTAAAACAAAGCGAATGCCAGGCCGTGTATTGGCCTTCAGCTCCGTTTATAACCGTAAGGTAACACTGCCCACGGAAAATGTTTCGGGGTTTGTTTCTTTGTAAGCGATTCTGTTTATCGTAGTGAGTTACTGGACCTCTTCGGGGTCCTTAAACGTGTTTTGATCTCACTGTAAATCGAGCCTCTGGTCTTTTGATTATGTCAGATTTGAAGTATCAGGATTCAGGAATGTGAGCAGGTATTTGGGACGAATATAGTTTGGTGTAGCCCAAACCTATTACTGACATGGCTTTTGAAATGTTTTCTTTTATTCATGTTAAGTTTAATCTTCAGTGAATTTTGCGGTGTTCCGGGTATTTTGTATTGTGTTTTGTATTTTTTATCTTTATGTGGAGGGGCCAAGATTTAAGTTCCGAATAAACACAACACTTTGTGAAGGCAGGTGACTCAGTTATGTGGAGATAAGTGCCAATAAATGGGTAGTGATTGAGCATCTCACAGTAGAACAATTATATAATGTTTCTGAGGCTTAATTGCAAGTTAGGTAGTTAAGCTAATTTTTAAATTTAACAGCTAACTTTGAGCAGGCATCTTATAAGCATCTTTGTCGCTCATGATGTAACTAATTCTGTATTTAGTAAATAATAGTTCCTACCGTTTGTCATTAATGGCACTGACATATTGTGTTAGGAAAAGGAAACCATGGCAACAGCTGTGTTTCCAAGTATGGTATGTTTGTTTGACCTTATAAATGTGGGTGTGGTTAGACAATGAAAGGAGACATTTGATTGTGAAATACACCTTTCTGTGGACTCAGTGGAGAAATATTGTCTCTGGTCATTACCTTTGAGGCCTTGAAACTTTGCTTCAGTGTATTTATTTACTCAACCTTTTGGGTATGCAGTCTACAAGAGGATCCTCCAGCTGGTGTCAGTGGTGCCCCTTCTGAAAACAACATCATGGTGTGGAATGCAGTCATTTTTGGGTAAGAAATTAATTTGGTTCTGAAGTGTAGATCTTATTTTTGTTTCTGAACAAATGACAAAATATCGCTTTTCTCTAAATTCACAGCCCTGAAGGAACTCCCTTTGAGGATGGTAAGTACCCCATTGTATATAGAGATAGATAGAGTTAAATGTAGTAACTTAATCAAAAATCTCCCTGAATAGCATTAATTGAAAGAGACCCTTCAAGTCACATCTCCAAAGTGTCCTCAGTTGGTCCAAAATCTCATGTGTTCCTTTCTTTCAGGTACATTTAAACTCATCGTAGAATTCACAGAAGAATATCCCAACAAACCCCCTACAGTGCGATTTGTGTCAAAGATGTTTCATCCAAATGGTAAGAACATGATCACCTGCTGCCTCGTTATAGTGTTATTTGTGGCCTGTTAATAATTGTTTTTTCTCCACAGTCTACGCGGATGGCAGTATATGTTTAGACATCCTACAGAATCGTTGGAGCCCCACTTATGATGTGTCTTCTATTCTAACATCTATCCAGGTAAGAAGTGTCAATATTTAACAATAAAAGAAAAGATCACATTATTATGGCATATTATTGTTAATTTGATTATGGAAACATTAAGTGCATTTCCAAATCATTGTGGCAATATTATAATATATAATAGAAATAATATGTATATATTTCTCTGAGAAACGAAAAGCTGCTACTGCAAATCCAGGCTCATCCAGACTAAGTTTAATGTCAGTGTGTAGGACTGCAGCTGACCACACACTGATTGAATAATATCCACTGATATCATATGAACTAAACAAATGTCCCAAAGTGTAAGCTTAAACATATCGGTAACATCTGAGAATTTCTGAGAATATTATTTTCTTATATAGCAACTCATTTATAAGGTAGTGTTGATTCATTAAGTGCTGTTAATACATGAAAATAATCAATATTCAAATGATAGAAGATTAAAATTTATGATTGAATTCAAAAGATTAGATTTTAGTTTGTAAAAGTACAGTGGCAAACTGGAAAATTCTCAGTATTGTGCAATAGCTAAAGGGCATGACAGTTTTGTTTTTTGTTCCATCTTTTAGCAGTACTGAGTAGATGAATGAGTTGATTCAGGTTTGTTGTTTTCCATTTAAATATTCTTGCCTTCTGTATTAATCTTCTCTCCCCCTGCAGTCCCTGCTTGATGAGCCAAACCCCAACAGTCCGGCCAACAGCCAGGCAGCTCAGCTGTACCAGGAGAACAAACGGGAATATGAGAAACGCGTCTCTGCCATCGTAGAACAAAGCTGGCGAGACAGTTGACCTGATACTTGTGATTGCTTCTCTCCCTCCATTGTTAAGCTGTGTGTGCTGCAAGTTTTAGTGGAATACCTCTTAATTTTTTGACCCTCCCCTCTTTTAATTTTAAGCTTTTATGCACTTTACCCTCAACTTTCCATCATAAAACATCTTGTTCCTGCCCAACAAAGAGGGCCTTTTTTTTCTATTCTCGCCCCCTTTTTAAGTTCATCAGGGGAAATGTGCTGAATCTTGCCTTGATGTAATATCATTATGGACTTGAGGGCCATTACTTAAAATCCTGGTGTGTTCCAACTTGCTCTAATAACTCCATGATTAATTATGTTTTGTGTCTCAAGAGGGTACATCGTTAAGTCATGGGTCCTTTTCTGTTGTGAGCCTGATTTGTTGTCAGTTTATTTTCATAAGGCAGTTGGATACTGAGCAGCCTGATTATCACAGACTACAACTAAATCACCTTTACACCATGTCCTTTGCTGTGTTGTGAACTGTTACATGCATGACGGAGTGTATTCACTTTCCCGTTCACTTATGTATATAAGAAACCTGCAACTGAAATTATGTACAGATTTTGCACTGGTTGTCCCCCATGTCACCTTTTCCAGTACTTGTAAATAAAAAAAGGCAAAGTCATCCTTGTATGGATATACATTTTCTTTCAAGTTGTTAGTGCACAAGTTATTTTACTTTCCAAGGTTTGAGCATAAATGCTGGTAGCAACAATGGCCACTTGCGTGGGGTACGTCGTAGCCTCTACGGAGATTCATAGTCAGGCTAGTTAGTCACAGTCTAAATCAGGCCTTGTCTGGGAAAGTGGACCACAGTAAAGCTAAAGTTCTCATAAGATCTGTTTCTAGAGATGGTGATGCCAGAAAATCCACTATATATGGTCTTATTTTGAGATCTTTGTTAAAACAGCAAAATAAAATTATATATTCAATATAAGTTAAAATGCACTCTCAACTGACAGTTCTTTATGCAATACTGGAGAATCATGAGCTTTTACCTAAAACTCATTAAATACATTTTAAACATCTCATTTTATCATAAAAGTAGCATCCATGTTGCTCTTGTACAATGTTCTAGTGAAATGCAGTAAGCTGCAATTCAGTTGTAATTACAGATCAATGATTACAAAAAACGATGCATCTGAAATCACCACACAGTGAACTTTGAGTGTTGACTATAAAGTAGTGTTGAAGAACACAGAATTCATGTTTCTACTTTGTTTTTTATTTGAGTTTATATAGTTAAGCTTGTGATGTTGCATGCAAGACGAACACAAAGAGGGATGATGTGCAGGACAGCTTGTTACAAACATGCACATGGTTGTGTACTGTACTACAGCTACTGTTTGTAAACAACCAGGAGGTGGCATTCTCATTTCTCAGGTACACAGCTGTTACAAAAATAACTATTTACAACACCCCTCTCTTCGTGGATTTTTTTTTTTTTTTTTTAGCAAACACTGTTAACTGTAAATGAAGACTAATATAGATAAAATTAAATTTTTCACACAGGAATGTTCATGGGGCCAGGAGAGCTACCTGTTGTAGGCTCTCTCCTTCTTAGCCCTTTCTAAGGCCTTGTCCATGGTCTTCTCGTTTTCGCCTCTACACTTCGGGCAGTACCACTTGCCTTTAGGCTTATGATGGAGCCCGACGCAGGAGAAATGAAACCACTCAATGGGACATTCGTCATTATCACAGCCAATCATCTCGCCGTAAGACACCTGTTCGCACAGGCAATATGTTGGCTCATCCGGATCAATGGGCAGGTCTGGAGGAGACACTTCTCTCTCTGATTTTCCTTTTGACCTTTTCTTTTTCTTGGAAGATGTTTTGGCCTTCTTTTCCCGAGACACCCCCACTCCCACTTCCTCAGCATGATCCAGACCCCCGTAGCTTTCCCGATTTTCTCCATTTTTCTGACGTCGTGAGCGTTTCCCTCCCGCCTTTTCTCCACCGCCTGAAGACGATGTGACCTCATCGCGCTTCTTGTCGTGGTGACTGGGTTTGCCCACAGTAACTGTAGCTGATGTTGAGGACATCAAAGACGATGCAGTGGTTGTCATGGAGGTGGCCGGAGGAATGTGACTTTCTGGGATTTCTTGAGAGGAAAGGAGTAGTTCTGAATGCCAGTCTATTTGTCGCGTTCGGTTCTCAACCAGCTCCACCTGGAAAAAGAAAGAACATTCATGTTTTGTTTTTTATTTTTTCCAAGTTCACCTAATTTATTTGACAATGTAGACTAAACCATCACACTTAAATAATCCTAAATACAAATCTATGTGAGAAACCCCAAACTACATCAGTATCTGCCATGTCTGTGCCCCGACAGAGCCAATCAACAGCTGAACCAGAACACAAATGAGCCATGTTGCTTGAACTTGCACGAATAAAAGCTTTTTAAAGGACTCTCATTAATCATCGTGACCCCTAAATCCTTTTTGGTTTACGTTTTTGTGAAGAGACAATCTGTAGCTCCCTTGGATGCACTGTACGTTTTAAAAAGCCAACTCTGATTAAGATTTGTTGAACATAAATTTTGCCTTCTTTGCTGAATTAACTAGAAAGAAGTTCATGCTTTCAGCAGTTTAGGCATAGCTGACGTCTAGGGGCGTACAAATGTTACTATAAACAGGTTTACAAAGGGTAAACCTGTGTTTGTAGAGGGAGGGATGCGTGCCAAATGGACTAAAAGGATTTTAGCAGCTGTGTATCTGGTTCCACTCCTGGTCGCCCAATCCTTCCCTGCATGTCATTCCCTCTGTACCCCATTTCCTGTTTATCGCTACTGTGCTATCCATATAAAGGCAAGAGCCTGAAAATAGTTTTAAAAAATATATATAAATGTGAATGTTCATAGAGAAATTATTATCAAAGCTATCCACTGTAATTATGTATCACAAAAGGAACACAACCCAACTGAACTTGACATACCAAACATGCCAAACAGGAAGGTCAAACATAGTGTTGTGTTTCTGGTAACTGCCTAGCTTGCATCTACAATAGAGTTATTTAATGTTTACTGCTGGAGTCTTGTAAATGTTTAGATTTTTTTCTTTCTTTCTACAAAAAGATTTCCAAAAAATGTAAACATAAAGCTCATTCAGTCCTGATACAAAAGACCTCTAAAAAGATCCATAAAACCCATTAGTCAGGGTAGGCGTTCTTGCACATATGTCACAGAAGAAGAGTAACGTAGCTTCATCAATACACACATTAAGACCCGAAAGCTACTTTTTTGTCCAGTTTTTCTTCCACGTACCATTTGACCAGCAATCTGGATCTTTTCATCTCCAAGCTCCTGACTGCGAATCAGTGCCCTCTGAATAGACAACTGAAGCTTGCGCCTCTGAAGGGAGTCAGATTCACGGCGATACCGCTCATAAGCATCATCAAGCTCCTTCAGAACATCTGACAAAAAAAGAAAAGAAAAAAACAAATAAGAACAGAACAGAAATACACCACATGTTCAATTGTATACTTGTTGTTGGGTTTTGTTTTGTTTTTTAACCCTCATCAACACAGACGGAGCAGCAGCATGACTACAGGTTGAAAAGTAAGAAAAATAAATCATTGAAATCTTTTGTATTACTTTGGATTTCTTGACAATATGTCAGGCAAAGTTAACACTCAAGCATTACTACTACATTACAGTTTTAATCAAAATCTTCTGGAAGCAAGTGTCACTAAAGTTTACTGTAACTAAATAAACACTGTATTTCGATCATGTATTATGTGGTTAAAAATGAGATTAAACTGATTGCCAAAGCTGATTAACATCTGGTGCAAATATTATAGTAATGTAATTATACATAGCAAGTACATGTTATTTTGTCATATCCACTACTATTTTGTAGTGCATATGGGACCATTTCTCTTTTGCTTAATCTCAGTCTTATGTTTTATTTTTTTATTTAATGTAATTTCTTAAATTACTTTATTTCATCACCGTTATAAATAAAACTTTGCACCACCTCACATAATAAGTCCTTGAGTATGGGACTGTAGTAAATACAATACTTTTATCCATCCATTCTCTTCTGCTTGTCCAATTCAGAATCACAGAGGTGCTGGAACTAGCCGTCATACGCTGAGAAGTGAGGGACACCTCGGATAGGTCACCAGGGCTAACACAAGGAGCTCACAACACATCAAGCTCACATACTGTGAATTTACAATCACCAGTAAACCTAACCCTGTGTATGTTTTACCACCGAGGTAGGAAGCCAGAGTACTGGGAGGGAGGCCATTGGGAAGAACATGCCAACTCCACACAGAAAGGCCTCAGACTGGATTCAAACCAAGGACCTTCTTGTGAGGCAGTAGTGTTAACCTACTGTGCCACAGGATATTTTTATTTGTATTGTTTATGTTGTAAACACTGTTGTAAACAGTGATTTCCCTTGTAGGATAAATCAAGTATCTATCATACAGTATTTAATTGCTGGTTGCAAGGTATATAATACAGCAACTGCTAATGTAGTACATACAATGGCGATTACACACTTGTATATACTACTGTGTGGCTGTAGGTTAACCATCTTATCCATTTGTTCACCTGTAAAATGCACACTTTAAATCACAAATCTTTCTAGGCTTTATTAAATGCAATGTGATTATATATATATATTATTTCACCATGAAACCTAAACAAATGTAAACATCAAAGAGTAATCTTTACCTTGATACTTGGCATCAATTTCCTTCATGAGGGACACGCTCCTTTGCAAGTCAAAAGGAAGGGACTCCACAAGATCCAAATACTCCTCCACATAGTTCACAACAACGTGACCTGGGTCACCATTGGTCGGGTTCAGCATTGCGGATCCGTTTCCCCGCCGGCGCACTCCTACACCAACACCCGTTAACAACATTAGCTTTTTCATTGATAAATCTAATACTCAAGTTTGCAAGTAAATATTACTTCACTGCCTCAAACGTTTTTGATTGAAGCATCATAACGTGTGTTTTACAGCGTTTTCGTCGTGTTTACTAACACCTGTAATCATGAATCAGTTCTGGGCTGCAGACATACAGAAGAGAAGACAACTGATCTGCAGTCAGCCATACTGATGAAATTGCTACGTGTACTGCGAATGTGCCAACTGTTAGCTAACTCGAACTACCAATGCAGGATCTGCAAAGAAATACAAGACCCGGTGACTTCCGGTGGATAGCTGATAACTAGAAGCTGCTCGTATGGGGTGTCCTTACAGCAAGGTCTTCACAACTACAACGGAGCAGACAACTGTAATGCTAGCTAGCAGTGTTTCCCGGGGAACTGTAATCATTCTGGCTATGTGGAAGAATCACAGATGGATATGCTAACACAAAGCCTGCCACAAACAACAGGACACAAGTGAACTGCTGTGCTTGAATATTTCATCAAAAGCAGCAGCCGCCCTGTCGTGTCTAATGCTTGCCAAAGCTAACTACAGCAGCTATCCTGACCTGCTGCTGCTGAGTCCATTTTAACGTCAAGTAACGATACCCAACTTTTCCCAGTTTGCAAGTTTATGAATCTCTTAGTCTGCACCACACACCTATGAAAATTGGATTTTCAAAATGTGGCGTTAAATGTGGAAGTCGCTGCTAAATGTTTTGGAAAGTTACATCTTAATGTGACAAACACAACGCTTTGAACAACGGTCACCGAAGTGAATACGTTTCACCTTCAACACATTAAGCACCCACTGAACATTTACGGACAATTCTAGCTAACACGACGTGGACAAACAGAATGGTCTTTTACTGCTTTGGCACTTTAAAGTGGTCTTATTTTAACGCGTTGGCTTCGACGTGTCTGTTAGCTGGATTAGCCGGCTAGCTTATAACAATACTAAACGAAATTCAGCTCCAATCCTTACGGAAATACAGAGCAGATACCTCGCCACACTCATTTAGTTGCCATATAAGCGGAGGGTAAGTAAACTTACCTGTGAATACTCCGAGTTAACCTTACAGACTCTGTGATGCTGCTGTGGGTCTTGTTGCTAACGCTAGGTCGCGCGCGCGCGTGTGTGTGTGTGTAACTACGGTGGACTCGCAACAACGGCGCTAGCTGTCGGCTAATTCAGCTATGCGCATGCGCCGCATACTTTACACGAATCACACACGCCTCACTCTTCTGCTTTTAGGTTTACGATGCTGCAACCAACCAAAACAATCTTTGTTGTCCAGCATGTATCAGTTTTCATGGACTTTACAAGTTAATATTCCCCACTGACTCTATAAAAGTCACGTTTTCTGCAGTCACTCACCCAGTAATACTTCCATGATCGCTTTTAAGAACTTTGTCGAAACAAACAAACAAAATCACATTTATAATTTATTTCAAAACATATACAGGTTTCTGGTTTAGTGTGAGCCCATTCCTCCTAATACCTTAGTCTCTTTGGTGGGCTTGGTGAAGGCATTCATTATTCAACAAGTGGTTTTCTTTTTGTTACTTTTCCATTAAACATAACACAAACAACACGTCAGTGTGTATATTTTGCACCAGATTTAGATTCCGGGTTCAAATCAGTCATTAAAATTCAGCTAAAGAAGAACATTTCTTTCAATCCCGAAAAGGCTACGTTAGGAGCGTAAAATTAATTCTCTTTTTACAACTGTTTGCATCGCTGACTGTTTTTAGCTTTCGAACAGCTTTTTGAAGGCTGAGCTGATCTCCTGGATCATGTCTGACGTGGTGGTGGACCTGCCATGCCGCTGGAATGCTTGACTGTTGCACTGCCTGGTGAGCGAACAAGCACCAAATGCAGCAACCACTGAGGGATTCATACTATAGGGGAGCAAAGGGAAAGAAGAAGGGAAAAAAGGGGGATATACATCCAAATAAAGTGATCACGTACATTTCTCTGTGCAACATCACACTTTATGCATTCATTACATAGGAAAAGCCAAAAAAAAAAATCATCTTTAGTGAGAAGTGGTCAGAACATTTGGTGATATTTTTTATACACTCTCAGCATGTAAATAAGTGCACTCTGTAGGTAATGTGTGTAAATATATTTTAAAAAAATATTTTTTTTATCCATTGAGCCCTGAAAAGCTTGGCCTATATATTCATTCAAACATAGCACAAAAAGCAAAAATCATGCCTTCACCTTCTGATCATGCCTGCTGTGGAAGCAGCATGGGCCCAGTGTGCCAGCACTCCCATAGATCCAGAAAGGAGATCCCCCTGTCCACCGCATCGTCTCCCGCTGCCTTCCAAGTTGCATGAGTACACTACAAACAGCAGAACACAACACAGCGTCACAAAAAGATCTCCAAACCATCTGAGAATAAACAAACTGAACGATCAGCTGGAAGAAATTAAAGCACGTTCTGTTTGATGCCAACCTTTGCTGCCATCTGTGATGAAATCCTGCTCCCCCTTCAGCACCAAGGTGAGGTTGCCCATAGCTACACTGAGCTGCATAACGCTCCGCTGATAATCACTGCTGTCCATGGGCTCATGGTGCTAATGCACACAAACGAGGCAAAAAGACACACATCAGCATAGAGGATCACACGTTATTTGCTGTCAACTAGTGAGTGGGACTGAATTGTGCCAAGAAACTTACCAATGCCTCATACAATCGAGTGAATTCCATGAAGTTAGGCGTAAGGATGCCCTTCTGGTACCCTTGGATAACAGATGGTTGCTGTGTAACCAGCCATAATCCATCCTGTTAAGAATGATCACACACACTATGTATGACTTAGCAAATGAAACACCTTCTGCTCCACAGCTGGGACTTTATTTTATCAAGACTTACTGCGTCAATGACTATGGGGATATCTCTTGCTTTCGACTTCTCAATGACCTCCTGAAATAGAGAGAGAGAGAGAGAGAGCACAGGGTCTGTCTTTAATAAGCCTTCCGTTGGGGTGGGGGAAAAAAGAAGAAGTAATTTATCAGCCACCAGTAACACTTGTGCTATATAACAAGTGTTAGCAATAAGACTAGTCCGCCATGCTTATGCAGAAGTATCTAGCAGAGTAGCTGAGACTGTGTTAAGCGCAAAGAAGAATGAATATGCTCCACGTGCCTTTGCTGTTTTCAATAATAAGTCTTCTCTTCCTAAGCCTGGTCCCACCACAAGTCCGTGTAGTCTCGGAAGCCATTTTTCTATTTCTTCCACCGCGTTAGGACTGTCCCTTCATTCACACACATACACACAGATTGTCAGACATGCTGGAATGCACAATTAATCCCAAATTTTCAATTAGTTTGCAAGGCAAACACACACACACACAAAGTGAAGACTGACAACACTGTAACGGGTCTCTGAAGTGAGCAAACGCAAATAGAAAGCAGTCGATGTTAATGTTTTCTGTAAGTACCTCTTGTAGAGAAATGAGCCTTTTAACATTTTTTTGCTATAACAAGCTAATAATGGCTTTCTAAGAGCACACTGGCACAGGCTCACCAAACTGAAACACAGTCATAAATGTTACTGTAAGGTTCCCAAGCCGCTCCAGCCACGACAAGTAAGCGTGAGCTGTGAAGGTTTGTACTGTCACATGTCAGAAATTTAAATATTTAGGACAGTGATTACAGAATCATTGTGAGAAAGCAGCGTGTTAATTATAGCACGCAACGTTTAATACAACGGAGTAGAATGATAATAGTGAAATGCAGAATTTGGCTCCAAATATCATTACAACTGACAACAAAAAAGAAGACATGCGCAACTATTTATTTTGAAAATCTTACACCTCGCCACAAAGCCTGGGTAAACTTTGATTTTTTGCTTGCAATAACACACCTTGTAACATTTGTGAATGCATCCAAATACCAGTGCATAATGCTAATAAATACACACCATTGCACTCTCAATGATCCAACTGCTACCAGCTACTTCAAATACTACAGAAAGATTATTATTGGCTCTGTACTTACAGAACTGGATGGACTATGAGCTCAGGGCTGTATGATTTGATTACAACTGCAGCATCTTTGGTGCAGAACACATGAGACAAGTCAGCCCCCTGGAGATGAGAAAAAAAATGTACATACAATATACAATTAGAAATTTAAAAAAAAAATATGAATGGACAAAATTGATAGTCAAGCTTTACTGCCTACCACTTTTAAAGCAGAGATTGCAGCAAAGTAAGGAGCTCCAGTGTAGCTTTAGAGATTAGAGATGAAGAGAAATTAGGGCAAATGTTCCACTGAATTTGTTTTTTTCTTTTAAATCATGCAGGAATCTTTTATGCAACATACTCTTGACATCCTCCAATGATCCCAATACGTCCATCTTGTCCCTTGTGTTTTTTGGATGTCAGCGGAGGGACTATGTTCTTTACCAGTGGCAGGATGTCATCCTCCATACCTCTGTGCGACGTGGAGCCCAAACCGTAGAAGCGCTCAAAAACTGAGGAGATAAACAAAGTGAGAGCGTTCAGTGTACGAGCTAGTTTCAAACCACTGTGGTCGACAACAAAAAACACACTAATACGATCCAAAATAAGAATAATAACTGAGTGTGATCTTTCACATTACAGCTAATCTGCCTTCAGGTTTCTCTCCACATCAAGGCTTCACGCGTAGCACCAGAACTAAATACCTAACGCCTGAGGGTCTGCGCTCAGAAATGGATTCTGCTGTGCGAGAGAGTCTGTCTGGGGCGAAGGGCGTTTGGGATGACCGGAGTGGCCACGTGTATGCGACGGGGAGGTACTGGAAATGACTGGAGCGCGGCCAGGATTCGCCGTCTTGGACGGAGCGGATGCTGAGCCGGAGGAGGAGATGCTGGCGAACATCTGGCCAAGCATCTGAAGCATCTGCAGTTCCCGGGCATGCTCAGCTTCCCGGCGCCGGTCTTCTGCTTGCAAGCGCTGCTCCTCCATCCGGTAGAAGTTGTCCTCGGCTTGGGCGCTCTGCTCCAGGAACTGCTCCATCAGCTTCTCCATGGGGAAATTGGCGCGTCGCTTCCTGGGCCGTTTGGCCGCTCTGGCTGACAAACAGCTGGCTGACTGGCTGCTGTTAGGCGGCTTCGCACAAGTCCCTGAAGTGGAGAAGGGTGTGACATTATGTTAGCACACATACTAGAGTCACACTCGAAGCACTGAAACATGATAAAGCCACAAAAAAGTGATAGTGGATAAGGTTGGACTCACCATTATTCCCCACTGTCACTTTAACCGGAATGGGGATGGGAACAGTTGGGTATTCCAACTTGACTTCAGTCTCAGCGGGATAAGGACACTCCCCTGTGCTCTCAGAGTAAGCATCCTGAGCATCTTCTCCATCCTCCTCCGGGCCATCGACGGCCTCCTCTCCTCCCGCACCGCTGTCTATAAACTCCTGGGCGTCCAGACTCGGCCGGTTACTCAAAATCCTCTCCATGGTGTCATAAAATTTGCAGATCTTGTGATACTGCCCATTATTCCGCAGATTGCCCTCCTTCGCCAACAAGTACTGCCTCTTGAGGCTCTTGATCCGCACCCTACACTGCTCGGGCGTCCTTTCAAACCCCATGGCTCCCAGCCTCCGGGAGACGTCGCGGTACACGAAGCTGTTTCGGAAGTTTCCATCCAGCGCCGCCTGGATGTCCTGCTCTCCCCAGATGTTCAGCAGCGTCCTCGTCTCCACGTCCGACCACAGGAAGCCCCGCGTTGTGTTCGCTTGCATAGCTGATCCAAAACAGGCCGGCTCTCGGCGTAACCTCCACCCCCGGGGAATAAGTTGATTGGAGAGGTTGACACTGCGGATTATGACGGCCGTTTGCTCTGGGTCTCTGCGCTCAGCCGCATCAATGCCGCGGACCACCGTCAGCCCAAACAACGACAAACGGCCATTTCGCTAGCTCAGAAGGACCAGCCGGGGTAATCATTTTGGTCTTAAACTTGAAGATCATCACAACGTGTGCAGGTCAAACTATCTGTAAGCTAGCTAAAAGCCTAGCCTTCTGTGTTTATCTCATTCGTGTCGTTGTCAAAATGCGTAGCTCTGGGATAAACCGACAGGAGATCGGCTACAAGAGCCGTTTTCAAGCGGTAACACTACATCGAGTAAATGTCCAAACTGACCTCTGATCAGTCCTTTGAGGTTAACTTCACCTTTCTCCGCCTGGTCCCCCGCCCCGCGAACGCA